AAAAGAGAACGCTCTCAAGAAGAGATGGATAGTATCAGTGATTGGTACGACTAACATTCAAATCTAATTGTATAAATAAAAATAACAAAAACAAACACGCCGATATACCTTGAGAAAAAGAAAGGACCATGATTAAATATTTTATTGAAGAACAAATAAACAATGTTAGATCAAAAGTTTCTTTCTTCAAGATTGCAAAAAAGGTAAAAGAACCCGTGAAAACAAAATACTCAAATGTGTTACTCTTCTAAGAAAATATATTACACAAACAATATTCCTTCTTAATTGACGTTTTGAACCAGTGATCTTGTCTTATATAATTATATTGTATAAGACAAAGTTTAAAACAATCAACATTGGATTGTAGGGTTTGAGGTGTGGGTGTGAGGTGTGGGTGTGAGTGCGGGTTGAAGAACACTAAACATCCACACCTACAGACCCACACACTCCACATCCACTCCCACACCCTAAGTATTGGATAAGATGCTTTACAAAAATGTATCTTATTTTACTTTGCGCCTTTCAACTTCAGAATGAATTTCACCTTTATGCAATAGATTTACTCGATTAAAATTCAATAGATGAAAGCATTGTCACGATTCATTTTATGCATTATAAAAACTCAGATTCATTTAGTTCATCGGATTGTATACCAAGCTCTTCCGAGAGTCGCTCGATATTCAACATCGTCATCAGTAGACGAGCATCTATAAAGAACAAACATTTCTTGTATATTAGAAATGCTTGTTTATAGAAATCCAATGCGAAATTCGGTTGATGAAGATTTTCGTAAATTTCGCCTATAGCTGAAAAACTATCACCAATGCATTCATGATCTGATGGTAGATGTTGCAGACACATAATCAAATGATTTCGTTCATAGATAAGGGATAGCTCATGTTGCCCTCTATTTCTTGATATCAATCGCAACCAATTGAACACTTCATGTGTGCAAAGCTCATGAACAGGTAGACTAGCTTCCGTGATTTGCAGCCACCGTTGTAAATATTCAACAGCACGATCATACTCAGTCTTTATATTCAAGTTAGCAACGAGCCATGATAGGCAAACACTTATTTCCACATGATCATATGGGTAATGTTCTTCCAGTATGGTCAATGCTTGTTGACAAAAGTCGATCGATGGATCAAACTGCATTTGCTTAAATAAAGTGACACCAATGTCATTCAAACATTTCGCAACTTTCATTTGATCGATAGGTATGTTGTTTTGAAGAATTGTCAATTTTTCTTTTTGAGTATCCACAATTTCATCATATTTCCTTTGTTCTGTTAAAATTAAAATTATCCTATCCAGACATGTAATAATATCCGAACAATTTGATGCATATTTCTTATAGTATGTTAATGATTGACGGTAGAAATTTAGGGCTTCATCATCATCATACGTTTGATACTTAGCAAGACCTATATTACTTAGAACAACAGCGGTATCAATACTACCCAATCGATATAATATTTCATGAATAGACAGTGATTTTTCGTAAAACTCGATCGCTTCATTGTATTTCTTCTGACCGTATAACGTAACACCGATTCTGTTAAAGTTATTTGCAATATCGATATCTGGTGATTGATAATATTTTTCTTGAATAACTAAGGCTTTTCGATAATATTCAAGAGCTCCATCGTAATCCGCTTTCTCATATAAGGCAAGTCCTATATTGTTAAGAACAGTCGCCATATTAATATTACCGACTGGATCTAGTTTCTCCCGAATAGATAATGATTGTTGATAAAATTCCAGTGCTTCATCATATTTCTTCTGAGCGTATAATGTAAGACCGATTTCGTTAAAGCTATTTGCAATATCGATATGTGGTGATTGATAATATTTTTCTTGAATAACTAAGGTTCTTCGATAATATTCAAGAGCTCCATCGTAATCCGCTTTCTCATATAAGGCAAGTCCTATATTGTTAAGAACAGTCGCCATATCAATACTATCAAGTAAATCTAGTTTCTCTCGAATAGATAATGATTGTTGATAAAATTTCAGTGCTTCATTGTATTTCTTCTGAGCGTATAACGTAAGACCGATCCTGCTTAGGCTATTTGCAACATTGAGATTTGATGATTCATAACATTTTTCTTGAATGACTAAAGCTCTCTGATAATATAAACGTGCTGAATCATAATCACATTTCTCATACATAGTAAGACCAAGATTGCCAAGAACAGTCGCCGAATTAATATTACCAAGTGGATCTAGTTTTTCCCAAACAGACAAAGCTCTTTGATAAAACTCGAGTGCTTCGTCAAACCGTCGTCGACCATATAGTGTATTACCAATACGATTGAGTGTATCAGCGACATCAGCATGGGAACATTCACTATATTTCTCTCGAAGCGCTAAAGTTCTTTGATAATATGGCAAAGCGATATCGTAGTTGCCCTTTTGATATAAAGCAAGAGCGATATTGTTAAGAACAGTCGCCATATCAATATTACCGACCGGATCCAGTTTCTCCCGAATAGATAATGACCGTTGATAAAATTCCAGTGCTTCATCATATTTCCTCTGACTGTATAACGCAACACCGATTCTGTTAAGGCTTTTTGCAATAACGATATTGGATGATTGATAATATTTTTCTTGAATAACTAAGGCTCTTCGATAATATTCAAGAGCTCCATCGTAATCCGCTTTCTCATATAAGGCAAGTCCTATATTGTTAAGAACAGTCGCCATATCAATACTACCAATTGAATTAAGTTGCTCTCGAATCGATAATGACCGTCGATAAAACTCAATGGCTTCGTCATATTTCCGTTGATGGTATAAGACATTACCAATACGATTGAGAATATCAGCTATATTAATATGTGGAGAAGCAAGATAGTTTTCTAGTAATGTTAACGCTTTTTGATAATAGTCAAGGGCTTCACTGTATTTTTTCTCTTCGATCATAAGATCGCCAATGTAACTAAGACTGTTCGTTATACTAGTTTGGTACAATGAAAAATTATTTTCTAGTGTATCAAGGGCTTTCTGATGATATTCAAGAGCTTCAGCATATTTCTGTTGCTCACATAGAGTGATTCCAATATTATTCATACAAAAAGCTACAGAATTGCTTGCATATGGTACATGTGTTTGGCAAATTGTCAGCGCTTGCTGATAATTACTCAAAGCATCATTGTACTGCTTTTGATAAAAAAAAACATTTCCGATATTATTGAGACTTGCCACCATTGAACTATCACCTGACGGATAATAGTTCATTTGCATGTTGAATGCTTGCTTAAAATAGTCCAATGCTTCATTGTATTTGAATGTACATTCTAGTACATTTCCTATGTTATTGAAAGTGTTAGCTAGTGCAGCATAATAAGATGAATAATATTTCTGTTGCATATCTAATGCTCTGCGATGAAATTCAAGAGACTCATCATACTTTCCTTCTTGCTTTTTTGTATATCCAATGTTGTTCAAAAGAATGATGGTGCTCATATGACCAGATGAGTGATATTTTTTGAGAATATTCAACACTTGTTGATAAAATATCAATGCTTCATCGTATCTTCCTTGTCGACAGCGAATATTTCCTATTCCAACAAGACTCTCAATTGTACTAATATGGCCTGACGAATAGTATTTTCTCATCATTGCTAATGCTTGTTGATATTTATTTTCAGAATCATTATCTTTTATTTGACTATAAAAAACATGACCAATGCTGTTGAGATTTTGAGCATTGTATAGATGACCATTTGGATAATATCTTTTAAAAATGGACATGGCTTGTTCACAGAAATCTAGAGCTTCCTCATGTTTTTCTTGACAGTTAAAAACTGTACCAATATAGTACAGACTTAAAGCAATCTCAATGTGTGAAGATTGATAAAATTGTTCGAAAATTGTTAGTGCTTGTTGATGAGCGAGAAGTGCTTCTTTGTATCTACACTGCTCATTCAAGATTCTTCCAATACTTCGAAGAATAGCACCGATGAGAACTGAACTGTTCATATTAGCTAGACACCACTGTTGCCAATCATAGTCTAATACTTCCCGATATATTTCGTCAACCTTCATTTTGTTCGATAGTTCACTAACAAATTCAATATTCGTCGTTTCTTGTTTTCTACGTAATAAATTATCAAATTTTGACCATACTCTAGTCCTAAACCAGACAGATGTCGACTGGAGGAATCCAGATATATTGCTAAATATCAATCCAAACCTACGATAAATATGACTTAATATAGAATTGAATTGATCATGTAACAAAAGAACTCTACGTGTCGTTTTAGATGTATTATTTGACTTTAGAAATGCTAATGCTCTTCTATAATAATCATAAGCCTCTTCATATTTTCCTTCTTCACAGGCGATGTTGCCAATATTCCAGAGCACATAAACTGATTCTTTGATATTTTTAGGTTGAACATTTTTTATTATAGCATAAGCACGATCATAATATTTTCGTGCATCGTACCATTCGGCTTTCCATTGATAAACATCGCCAAGACTATATTCAATCCGTATGAGATCTTCATTATTCAATTGTGAACTATTGAATAAATATTCTAGGTAATGTTGTGATTCATTCCACAAGCCCATATCACACATTAATTGACCAAACAGAATATCAAGACTAATGTTGGCTATTCGACGGCGAGAATCATTTATATATTTTTCTTTTATAATTTGACTTTCATTTGATAGAATGAGTTGAATTAAAGTAATTTCTTCATTCATTTTTACGTCAACCAATCGAAAAGTAGCATTTGAATTGAACAAAATCATTTGATATTCTTCCTCTAGATCAGCAATAATATCAACACCATTTATATGTAACAAATCACATTCGATTTTCAATAGAATAGAACAAAGATTTGCGTTTTTTTGATTGAATATTACTTGATTCAATGCGGTTAAACGATCACTAGTTGTGATTAAAATACCATTGGTTGAAATGAGTTGACCAAGATTCTCAGTAAATTTTCCAATCTGATCTCTTGATAATTTCATTCCTCGATAGACAATAAGTTTTTCTTTGCCTGTCTCGATCAATTTTCGATGTTCACGAATAAAACATTGTGTTAGATCTTTCATAAAACACCTGAGTACATGCAATTGATCAATATTTTTGACTTTTAATGCTTTGTTTGTCATTCTATAGAGAAATGTTTTTTTCAAGTACCATTGTAAAGCATCCTCCGATCGATATTCTCTTGCAAAATTTTCAATTGTTTCAATTGCTTTACTATTTTCTCGATACGATGAACGATATTCGTGAATCATTGTTTGTAAAGCATCTTCAGTCATGTATGTTGACTGACACAAAACATCATGATAAAGTTGATACCAGAGAAGATCAGATGTATGTTTTGATAAGTCTTTTATTAAATGTTCATTTTGATCAAAAAAACTAAAGGTTTGAAAATGTTCATTGAGAAATTCTATTTGTTTTTCAATCGAAACCGACAACATATCGAAATCATCAAAAATACCAATGACTTTTGAATATTCGAAACTAGAATGGTCATGTGATTGTTGTTGCCAATCGAAAATAAAGATACTATCAATTTGAGATAAGTTTTCAATTTGACTCAATATTCGTGTCATATCAGAAATGGATGAGATCAATAAAACTTTTTCACTATGAATTGATTCCATATATTGTATACAAGATTCTAGTTGAGTAAAAAATACCACATAGTCATTAATATAATACAATTGTTTCTTGATATCATCAACATGATCAATTGAGTTCATTTTGCAATCTAACCATATCAAAGTTATTTCTTCATTGTTGTTTTTATTTCGTTCTTTTATTATTAATGAATTTTCCATAACAAGAAAATGTATGACAAAAAAAATTTATTTACTAAAATCTAAAACAAAACAAAAAAACAATAGTTTATAATAAATCCTTTATAAACTTTGTCGATTTTTATTACTAATGATCAATAAACGCGGAAGTTATTAGACAGATGAATTTATATGACTTATCACTCAGCATGATAAACACGCAATAGAAATGTAAATGTTTACATTTGATTGCGAAATGAGTCTATCATCATCAATGCCTAGTCATGGGCCGAAACTAAATATCCTTATGACAATTATGTAAGGAGAAAGTAATTCTGTTTTCTTCCTCTTTGAAGTAACATATGTTAGTGTTCGTCATTGTTAAATTTTAATCCGTAGTTTCATACAAGACGAAAAGAAAAATGACTTCTTCTTAACGAGATATTCGTAAAGCCTTTTCTATTTATTCTGTCGTTTATCGCGTAAAATTTTTGGCACATCACTGTAGAAAAAAAAACAGTTCTTTTTTCTCCTTACTGTACTATGTGTATACACATAAGCATTGACTCATTGAAGATAAAACGTGATCTATACTATTCAGTAGATTCTGTTCGACCATCATAATTTTTGTTTTTATTTCTTATTTTTATCTTTCCTGTGCATGACTATCGAAATGTATATACATATGCAATCAGTGTATGGGAGAAAAAAGAAACATATTATTCTATTTCGATTTGAGTAAATAGTCCATAATCAATAAATTCTACTACTATTCCAGTCTTACCAGTTATCATTAGGATTTGATCGATCATTTTCATAGAGAATTATCACGGATACGAAGTTCCTTAATTCATTTTATTTTCTATGTATCAAGATTAATACATTAAAATATCGGTTCTAGTCTAGTGTAAAGTTTGCAGGTGTTCAAATATAACTTTTTGAATAATAAAACAAAAGAGATAATGTATACTACCAACGAATCATCAACAACTAAAGCTGAATTTATTGTCTACAGTTTTCACCAAAAAAACACAACACTTACGGATATTTATATCGTTTTATGTTACTCATTTTCGAAATATAAAGAAAACAGTGATCGTTTGCTTTATAGTATTAAGTGATATGCTTAAGTTTTTTTATCATGGCAATGATAATGAGTAATAATAAAGTCAGTTGGAAATCCCCAATCACCATGAGTCATAATATTTTTTTTCCTACTTATTGATAGTGTTGCATAGAAAATAGAATGAGCTGTGTGTCAAAGGCAGACATGATCGATAATACACATTTCATATTTTTTTTATTAAATTTGATTAGAAAAAAATTCTAACATTTCAGTCAAAAATAAAAATAATTAAAAAAAGAAAACAATGAGCAAAATACAAAAAATGATCGATATGAATGTATTATGATAAGACAATGTATTTTTAGTATTTATGAATCTGATTGATCGTTTTGTAAAGCACTTTTCTTTTTGGATTTAGAATAAATTTAAAATTCATTTACTGCTTAATAAATCTCTCCATGGATGATCCATCAAAGTGTGGAACAGTATACTTCTCAACTTTAGTATGTAAACTGCTCTTCATGCATAGTAGAAGATTCCTTTTAATTCATAAATAAATTGCTCATGATTGTTATGTAGTAGTACATTCGTTTTTATTCATGTATCTACTAAAGCTTTCCTATTCCACTGTTGTATAGAAATCTATGATCATACTTTTACAACTGTGTATCCTGAATAGTTTCTTTCATTTTCTCATCTATCTACTTGATCCGTAGTTTTATTCTTTTAAGTTAATAAAATTAGTACTAATCCAATGTTGATGTGGATATCAACGCGAATTGTTTATGGGTTAGCTTACACTAATGAACGACAGAAAAATTCACAATCACATCTTCGAATATCTTACTCTGGAAAACTATTATTATTTGTATGAATGCGCTCTGTTTGCATGTCCGGATCGTTTCTTATCCTGATGATTTCTACATTTAAACTTCTTAATTAGCCGCAGGGAAACAGTTAAAATTCTTTGAAGAGACTTGAACTTTGGTTAAATCAATTATTGCAGTTTTGATCTAAAACTTTGTGATGATAGAAATATTATTTAGATTAACTTATGCAGAAAGTTTGAGAAGATTTAAATAAATCTGTTATTGATTCTCTAAGATATAACATTCTTGTCTTGATGCGATATAGAATATCAATTTTTCGAAGGTATTGTATGTCAAAATAATTATATTGTGTAGTGTAAATTTAAACTGAAAAAGAAAGAATAAATATCTGAAATGTTTCATTATTAAAGTTTAAATTTATAGAAGAATAACCTTGATATCCCTCTGATAAAATCCTACGTTTCACTAGATTCTAAAAAAACCATTAAGTTTCTTTTAATTTTTTTTGAGTGAAAATTTTTCTGTTTAATTAGAAATCTTAAATTAAACTGAGCACATAGAAACATGATAAATCTTTTTTCTCATTATTTCTATATTATAAAAATGATTTTGTTTTATCTTCCTATAAGAATAAAATCTAGTATATAGTCACTTTGTTATTTCATGTATTAATTTTCATTGGAACTGATACGACTGATTACATAATCCAAAGATTTGCAAATTAAATTTTCTCATTTTTCTACGCTTTCTTATGGATTATGATTAGTAATCACAATTTATCTTCAACATTATTTTAATGTTGAAAATAAAACTAAATATACTTACATAGGAAGTAATATCAACGTTTGTATATATATATATATATATTTAACCTCTTCCGTTTCTTATGTTTATCATGATAAAAATTGCTCAATTTTTTTCTCATTGGGATTTATTAATTTGAATCAACGAACTATGACATGTTTATCAGGTAAGCTTTTTCTATATGATGTCATATCATCACATGTATTTTCGCAGTTTGTCTTCCTTTTCTTTCGTTTTATTACAATAAAAAAAAATATCTATAATAATGTTCTTTACATCAACACATTGTATATCCAATACCTCCTTCAAATTTTTATTCAAGCATGCTTGTCTCCCTTATTTTTTTTATTGTCCATTTCAGAGCAAAGTGGACATGGACATTTGTTGAATAACTTTTGATAGGAACGAGATGGGGATCTCTGGTTTTCACCGTTGGAAAGAGCATACGAAGATTCATCGAATTATGTACGGAAAGACATTTCTAGCTACTTTCCTATAGGTTTTATATAAAACATCAAGAAAACAGCAAGCTTTTTATGGCCACGATAGGAATTTATTGATTTTCAGGACTGTAATCGAATCAGCAAAGGAAGAGCTACAAAACTATATCAAGACGCTGTTTCTTACTACTACTAGTCTCATATCAAAACACAATTTACGACCTCATTTTTTTGAACAAAAGAATCGAAAAATGTAAACTTTTGTAGTATTTTTATAGAAAAGCTACTTTTTTAACGTAGGAGAAAAAAGCAATTCTTTGAAAACTTTTCACGAAGCCTTTAGGAAAGTAGTTAGAAAAATCTTTCTATATATCCCAAGCAAGCAAAAAAAGCATACGATGGGTGTGACGAGCGGTTGAAAATTTGATACATATATATTTTGTTCGTTCTGTTTCAATTTCGATCCTCTCGACACCCATCGAATTTTGAGGACTCGGACACAGTGTCCTATCCACGACTCATTTTCGACTCATCGTATATTGTTCGACACCTCGGCACTCATCGTATATTGTTC